GTTTTTCGAGACAGGGTTTTTCTGTGTAGCTTTGCGCCTTTCCTGGAACTCACTTGGTAGCCCAGGCTGGCCTTGAACTCACAGAGTTTGCCTCTGCCTCCCGAGTTCTGGGATTAAAGGCGTGTGCCACCACCACCTGGCTTGGTCTGGTCCCTTCTAAAGGATGTAACCTTGCTGTGTAGGTTGCTGGGTAGGGTTCTTGTTTACATGTTGAAGTTGGGAATGGGTAGTCTAATAATGTTTTGCATTGAGTTCCCCTATGTCTTAGTCAGGGCTTTTATTGCTGTGAAGAGACGCCATGACCATGGCAACTCTTATAAAGAGAACATTCAATTGGGGTGGCTCACTTACAGTTTCAGAGGTTCAGCCCACTATCATCATGGCAGGGAGCATGGCATGCAGGCAGACATGGTGCTGGCTACAGCTTGGCTTGCAGGTAACAGGAAGTTGACTGAGACACTGGGAGGTATCCTGAGCATAGGAAACCTCAAAGCTTGCCCCCACAGTGACACACTTCCTCCAACAAGAAATTACCCACTCCAACAAAGCCACACCTTCTAATAGTGTCACACGCTATGAGATTACGGGAGCCAATTACATTCAAACTACCACATCCTCTGTGGCAGTTAAGATGACAAAGGGAACATCAACCTGTAATAGCTGAGTTAACCTGCATCACAACCTTGCATCATAATATCATATCTTCCATGCCACTGTGGAAGGTGAAATCCAAAGACATGAACTCAAGGTCCTCTTGTGAAATCTTTTTTAGAGATAGGGGACAATTTGCTTAGGTCTGAGTGTACTTCTTATGTTGGCCAAGTGTGTGGTATATGCCTGTAATCTCAGCGCTCATAAGGTTGAGGTAGGAAGATCAAAAGTTCAAGGCCAGATGGGATACATAGTGAGTTTGAGGTGAGTCTTGGTTACACAGTGAGACAAGGTCAGGCATTGGAGGTGAAGAACATGCTCATTGGACAAGAAACCCTAGGTGTGCCCCAGCACTGGAGGAGCTGGGGGTCCTGGTGTTTCTAATGCCTGGAGCAGTAGGATAGGGTATCATACGTGGCCAAGTTTCTAGGGTGGCCAAGGCAGGCGTGAGAAGTAGGGCTGGGCGAACATGGTCAGATTTTCCTTTTAGCTCAGTGGTTCCCTTGGATGTATGGTACCAGGACTGTCTTCAGAGTGTAGGAAGTGCCATCGAGTCCTGAGCAGGGTCTGGGGCAACTACTCAGTGAGGAAAGTGTCTGAGGTCAAATTATCAATTCATGTTAGGTTAGGGGTGGTAAGAGACACTGAGGAAGCCCATGTGTTTCTCACTGATAGGATCTCTGTAGCGGGTTTGGAAGAATACGTACGAATGGACTCTATAATGTCCACGAGTTTTGTTGTAGGTTAAGAGCTTCTTCTTCTTCTTTTCTTCTTCTTCTTCTTCTTCTTCTTCTTCTTCTTCTTCTTCTTCTTCTTCTTCTTCTTCTTCTTCTTCT